TAATGATAATTTAATAATAACAAAACAAACATACGTCTGTAATATTAATAACAAGCTAATTACCAAAAAGGTCTTATATATTTTATATATAGGCATTGATTATTTAAAAATTTTATACAGCAATCAAAGACGCTACTTATAATATAATTTATAACAATAAAAATTGTTAGGATTTAAGTCTGTTCATAATTTTCATTAACTTAAACATTTACTTTGCTTTCGATGATCTACATTAGAGTATAAGTTAATACCTAGTGTAAATTGTCCCAAATGTAACATAAGAGTCTTAATAGCGCGTTCTCCCCAGACAGAGTCGAATGCAGAGTCTAGTTATAAATAAACAAATGAACAAACATACAGCAAATAAAAGTGCAGTCACGAAAGACCCCATGAGGTTAACGATCCGATAACTGAACTATCGTTAGTGAGCTATCTACTACATAGTTAAGAGATTACTTATATTTGACGAATATATTTAAACATTCGATTCCTTCACCTTCAAACACTATCGACGCTAAGATTTTAAATGTAATTTTTTTTTATCTCTTTGTCAATACGAATACAAGTAACAGAATCGAACGGAAAAAATCACAATCACAAAATCAGTCAATTTATAACAAGGACACTACATACGAATTTTATTTATTTTACAATTTCTTTTGCTGCTGATTTTAATACATATTTCAATTATGTTGAATAACTAGTTCGTTTTCTTAAAAATTTAGAAATATTCTAATAAATAAATTCATAGAATAGATTATACTAACTGAGACGGAAAATTATTAAATAAAAAAATATTTTTTCTCTCACAAAATCTTTACTGCAACGTTAAAATTTTTAATTAGAATGAAGCTGAAAACTTCAAATAAATTAAACGGCTGTTTATAGAACCACCTTTTTTTGAAATCGGCTTAAAGTATCAAAAAAACACATTCACTAAAAATATATTGAACCATTTCTCGGAAGTAGCGACCCTAGCTGTATCTGTTTGAGTTTGTGCCGCCTTAAAAAAAAAAAGAATGACCCAACATTTGGCGCCAACATTTTAAGGGTGTGAATGAAAAATTCATTGAGTCCCAAGCTTCTATTAATTCGTATTATGATATGTTCTACGCACAGTTTGACGTTTTCGAAGCTGTAAATAACGGAGATGAGAAAGATAACATTCTCGGAAACACAATGTTTTCCACTTCGTTATGCTCGACGGTTTTTAAAAATGAATATAAACCTTCTAACATTTAACACGTATTGTTCGAACAGGATAATATAATTCATATTTTTCGTTAATTACCAACATATACACCATAAATGTTTTTTTTTTGTTCCATTTGGTAATTCCTAAACATGTTTAAATAAAAGTATTTTCCCTAAGTAATCGCACATATCTATTTTCCTTGATGTAATAGGTAAAAATTTCGTAAAAAAATAGTCTCGGAAAATACTGAATGAAATTTTCTATGCTTAATACATAACTGATTAAATTTAAATAGTTTTAAGTTTATTACAAGTCAAGACAACAATATTAAAACAGTATAGCAATGGTGTAGCCAGTTGAAAAAATATAATGACCTGAATTTTAAAATAGCAACACAGTATTCTATTTTTACCTAAAAGTTACAAAAACAAAGTATTTGAACAAAATCAAGTTCCAAATACCTCCTATCAATTTATGTGACAAAAATGAAGAGATTTGCAACGAGATAGGTATTTTGTTTGTTAATACTTAGAACAGGAATCTCTAAATATTTACCGAATATGTTTGAAAGAATACTTAATTCGTCAAATGAAGTGCGTCATATCACTAAAATTAAATATTTGTTAAATAATAATGACGAGGAAAGAATATTTTTTTCCGTTTGTAATCCTCATACTTGTATAGATTTAGGAATTTTCCTCAGTCCGCGATGTTTTCAAGCTTTTGATTAAATTAGTATATTTTAATGTTATAAAAGAAATAGATTTACATATCATGACTTAAAATTTAAGTTAACTGAACAACAAATAGGACTGTAATAGATGTTATATATTTTTCTTTGTCAAATTCAAACTTTTCACCTACTTACGCTTAAACAATGCAGTTGATTTGAAGGAACTTCTTAAACCTTGAAAACTTTTTTAACTTTATTTGTTGGAGCATTGTATTTCAAATAAAAGGATAATTGATAACTTGCTTCGCTAAAGATATACCTAAAAAATTGCTAAAGCGAATGTTTTATTTGAAAATATAGTTTTTGCTTCTTACTTCATCTGCTAGAACATCGAAGAAAGATATGTACAAATTACACTGAAGTATGAACTTATATTTATTTTTATCAACAACTAGCTGCGCCCCGCGGTGTTATCAGCGGATTTCCGGGATTTTCGGGATGTAAAGTAGCCTATATGTTATTCCTGGACGTCAACTTACTGTATACAAAATTTTACCAAATCGGTTCAGCCGTTGGAGCGTGAAGAAGTAACAAACATACACACACACTCACAAACTTTCGCAATTATAATATTAGTAGGATAATTAGGATTCACCGGCAGCGTCATCTATAATCCTTTTTTAAATAACATCAAGTAAAATACAATTTTTATACCGTCATCTCTCGTAAACTACACGGAACTCTGGATTCCGATGTCTAAACTACATTACTGTAGAGTGTCATCAAAATCTGTAAATTAGATTTTGCGTAAAACAGCAACAAACATAAACTTTCGCAATAATCATTAATAGATATTACCAATATAAATTAACAAACTACCAGAGAATGAATAGCACAAAACACACAACGGAGTATTAAAGTTATATGTATGTTAGACGTAATGTATATAATAGATGTTCACAAAAGTACATAACATTATATACAGCTTCATAATACACTGGTTCATAAGTTCCTTTCACTTCTTAATTATTATTAAAAATTCCAAGTTTTCTATTAGGAGTTTTGTATAGTGGCGCTATAAAATATATTTATAAAACCCAATCGAACATGTATTGTCCAAATAGGTTTAATTAATAGACAGCGTCTTATGAAATAACATGAGATTCACAACTCAAATTAGAACGCAAGTTCGCGATTGTGTTTTTTTTTATTTCTTTAATCTATAACTTAAAACAAAAGCTATTTTACATACAGATTCTATTTAGAATTGCTTAAATTAGATAAAAGAATATATTCAATGTTAAAGTTTCGTTACAGTGTAAAAATTATCCAACATAAATATACGTACAAAACAAAAAAAAATCATAACTAAAAATTTTACAGACAAATTAATTTGCCTTTCAATGTCTCATTTCTTAGCGTTTTATTTTTTCTTAGCGTAATTATTTACAGGTGTTTAAATGTCAAACATCGAAGTAAAGTTTTGAATATACTTTGGAATCTCTGTGAAACGACTAAATACATGATTATTGATTATGGAGACAAAATAAACGAAAAAAAGTTGACCTTAAAGTAAATGGATGCTTTGACGAACAATTCTTATTAAGATCAAACTAAGGTTGCCTTTTGGTGCATACAATTCAATCACAGATAAAAAAAATAAAATAATATTACCGTGACATTGACAATATAATTTGAAACTTTTTTAAACGAGTGTTTATAATTATGTCACTGTCCAAGACATTCAGCGTAATGCTAGCTGACTTCTAACTAATTTATTGCCAATAAATATTTACATGAATAAAAAAAAACAAGAAACAGTCTATATTAAGTTTTACCATGTCATCTTGTGGTGAATATGTCCAATGATCTTCCCAAAATAGACATTTATTCCTAATAATTTTCCATATATGTGTTTATAATGAAAACACGCATTCGCATCGTGTATTTTAATTAATCTTCTTACCGGTTTAAAAACTACAATAAGTTATATATGTATAATACTTATTGCACAAGATTATAAATTGTCATTTAGGTATGTTGTATAAAACTTTGTTTATGGATGTGTTTCATTAACATTGAAAACGTAATAATAATTAAATAGTATGGAATCTATAGTGTGTGATACATTAAAGTTACTTTGTAATTGACCGATCGAGTTAAAAGGGGTAATACAATGGGACATTGACTTTTATTAACTGTGAAAGTCAAGTGTTTTCCTCATGATATCCCCTAGTCGTTTTAGTACAGTATTGTTTGGTTATTGAGATTCTTATTTATCTATTACAAAGGTTACCTCCAAAGAACATTCACTTAACAACAATTGAATTAAAATAAAGTTTACAAAGAACATATTATGTTGGAGTATTAGATTGTCTGTATCCGTTCTTTTTGACAAATGTCGTATCCATAAAGTCTCTTGATGGTATAGAAATATTGGAAGAACTTAAAAAATGCATATCATGACATAGCAAGAAATTATAGAATTTTCTTTACATAATTAATGAAAAATGTGACGAAATTCTTCACTTGCAAAACCAGATATCGCCCCACGGGTGTTTAAATGACATAGAACTTGAAAATTTACATAACACAACGTTATAAAACTAAGCTTTTTAGCATAATTACTTCAGTATCGACCTGACACTGTCGAGGTGTTTATTGAAAATATTAATTATCTTATAGAATTATTATAAGACGAAGTGTTTGTGTGAGTGTATTGTATACAACATATTTCTAGAAAATTCCACTATCGCTAAATTAAACAAGAAATGAAACAAAATCACATCTGCTTATACTTTTACAGAACAGAGAACAATATTATTGTAATTTTTGCAGGACACCACGTCACTAATGTAGCTGAATTTATTTAAAAACCCAAATAATATTGTGGAAAAATAAAAATATATTACGAAATTTATTCAAATGATCATTGTTTATTCAAGTTCGGTCAACGCTATCTTTGAATGGCGCCAATAGAGGGCATGACCGGAGCAAATGACAACATTTTATGTAACATTGCAATATAATAATAAAATTAGGAACTAAAGATTATATTTAAAAACAAAGAAGGTAGAAATTAAATTGTACCATTCAAAATAAAAGGGATTTTTATTATTATTTGTTGTGAAAATGTCATTACCAGACAAATGGGATTACTACAATGATTCGGAAATCGATCTGGGTTTCTGTCAGGAATTCCATGGTATGTATTTATTATATACAAATACATTAAATTCAATCGCAGTGTAATCAAAATATATACCAATCATTAATGATTTATTAATCTATTACCAGTTACGTACACTTAAACCAGAGACAATTGTCACCTCTGAAAGTATATTACTCTGTGATTCCTATATACCTGAATATTATATCAAAACTATATAAAATATATAATATTTTTCATCGAAAACGCCCACTTTGTCTTCTTTTTTAACTTTTACCTTAACAAAAACAATCCTTTTTGATACATTAACTCTATATAGCAACTTTTGATATATAAATTATATGTTAGTAAGTATGTATATTATTCACTCACGAAACACCTGATGGAAAGTTCCTATGAAAAAACGAAATAAAATTTATAATCGTTGCCACTGGCTGTCATTTTATTAAATCTCATTATCGTTTTATACCTCTCTAAACTCTTGATAAGGCTATGAACTCTGATCTTTAGTGAGATGAAAAAAAAACCAAATTCATATGCAAAAAATAATAATAAAAATAATTTATAATAATTTTCTGTTTAGTTCGAAAACCATTTACTTCGCTACCACAGTAGATATGATTTCGACGTGTCTAAAAATAAAAAATATATTATTTTATCTGTATATAGGCATGATTATATGCGTACTTTAAACGCTTTAAGCTACAGAATATAAGCAATTTCTTGAAAAAGAATGTATAAAATTTTCTAATTTCTAAATCAATATCTACCTTCTCTATAACTATCCAAGAAAACAATGAAATAATCATTGAAATGCCATAAATATTTTATAGCGACATTATAATCCTACTAAAGTTTTCAAATAATATGTGATTTTTCCGAATCATATGTACTTTCTAAGAGTATGTAGACATCACTGATTAATGTTGATTCCCAAAAGAGGGTTGATGTCAGGCAGGCGGCCGGTCGTAAAAAAACAAATAGCCAAAAAAAACTATTCACAACATGTAAGGCAGACCCTGGCTATAGCTGGGAAATTGCCAGGTAGAAGAAGGAGAAGATATAATATTATTTACTATATTCGAACTACACAACAATCTGTATTCCTAATATTTCGTAATGTAACATCCTCGAGCTTTTCATTTATTTAGGCAAACACTCGATAACTTATCGCACAGCTTATCAAATGTTATCACAATTAACTGAGCTTACATACAATGTTCATACGCAGTACTATATATAAATTTTTATTCATAAAATATGTACTACGTCTTTTACGTAATACATATGTATATATGTTAATACATTCGACGGCGTAGTTAAAGTATTTTGTATGTATACCATGATTAAAAGACAAATGATACTATGATATGAATACACAAATGGGATATTAAAACATTTTATACTAAATTTAAACTTCATTAAAAAACGTTTATCTTCAAATACTTTTTCAAGCAATTTGAATTTAAATAAAAAAAAAATTGTACACAATCGTTACTTAGATAAAACAATTATTTATCTTATAACAAAGTAGAATTAAACTCAGTTCAGTCAAAAATATATATTTTTTGATTTTGTTTTGAATGGATTTATAAATAGACATTTTGTTTCGTGTTAATAATAATGAGGAGGGAATAATACTTATACTATAAATATTGAGCTGAAATTGACAGCATACAGAATAAACTATAGAAAATGTAATTTTATATCTATATCTCAATATAAATATACATTAAAATACTTTACAACTTTAATAAAATGTAATAATTATAATGAATTCATATTGATAATAATCCTATTAATATCTGCGTAGTGCGTACTTACAGTAGGTACGTGGTTAAATAAAATTAAACGACGCAGAAAAACCGGTTTTCGGCGGTTATAACAAATTTTTAGTTAAAATAGACCATGAATATGTAGTTAGTGTTGCGTAATGCTATAAAGAATACATTATGGGCCTCTTGTTTAAACAGATGGACGATTCGATGTTTTGTGTTTAACTTAACTTACTCTGTAACGTCTTTACAAAAAAATATATGAAACTTTGTTTTTGACTTGTATTAATTCATTGCTTTTTTTCAATAGGTTACACTATGGTACAAAGGGTAGCCACAGATGAGCGTCCATTTGAAACGCCCTCTTCCGATGAGAGCGGATTGGGCCGAAGCGACTCTCCCAGCGAAGATTTGGAACCAGAGGCAGCTTTGGTAAGTTATAAGTTACATTAAAACCTCTTTGGAGTTGTCAAATAAAATTACTGGCCACTAAGAAAAAATAAAATGAATGCCTTATATTGCATAATATAAACACTTATGTCAGATTGACTTTTGAAAGCTTTAGCAGCAAATAATTAAATTTAAGGTGATTTAAGGTAAAAAACAATATGTATCCCACTTCCTCTTCGTGTTTTAACGTGCTATGTCAGTAGCCTATAAACATGTACTTAATACCGTAGTAGTTCTGATTGTCGCTTATCATATTTACACAGTTTTATTGGGTTTCGATTTCCTTCCCCCACAGAAGAGGAAGTCTGTGACCATAGCCGACGAAAAATCCAACCAAGCAAATGTATCGGAATGCATAAGTACATGTAATTGTGGCCCATAAATTAAAAAATTAAAAAAATACTCAAATAAGAATGGTTACATATGAAACGTATATTTAATATAATATGAATGAATTCGAAAAAAAATTGAAACGCAAAAGGAGATTACGAAAAATTTCTGAGAAGTTGGTAAACGCCTGCCTTTTCGGCACTATAACCTTGGCATTGGCTGAAATAACAGTAACCATTCTGCTGCTTGTTCTCTAAAAAAAGAAGAATTATTGAAAAGCATGTCGCAAAAAAAGAGGGAGTTTTTCAAGCGAGCACTCGATTTTGTTGGGGATATGCTTATATGGGCCTCACTTATTGTCGGTACATACTTTGTAATTGCATTTTAATGCAATAAATAAAGCAGTTAAATGAAAAACTATTTCATTGAAATTTCCATGTATTATAGAACCTAACTTCTTTATATGATTACCTCGATACTGAGAATACCCCTTAATATTTTGTAAGGGCGTTAATGTTTTGATATTAATTGGTAGCTGTTGATAGCAAAGTAAACGTATCACATACCGAGGTCGAGCAATGTCACGTAATAACCTCTAGTCATATTTTGTTGTATATAACATTTGTTTACCTTAAGGCTGTGTTGATAAAGATGTCATGGCACTATGTAAGGATAATACTATTTAATAGGATAATTTAGATGTTTTAATTAAAAATTCCTATATTAAAATTCAATGATGACACATCAAACAAATAATTGTACAGTTCTACTTTCATATAACTAAGGAATAAGTCAATAATTAAGCTTCTCAAGTACCGAAAATATACCTAAACAGGCTTTTTAAAATAATCACCATAAAGGTATAAAACAAATATTCTCAATGTATCACAAATAAAATATATATTAGTAATATATTTGTAAAATCGAAGAAATTTACATTCAGCTTGTAAATAATGCAAATTAAAGTGAATGTACTTCTATTTATAGATACGATAAGTCTGTATGGCCAATTACAGTAAAACAAGACAAGTATCAATGTAAAACGAACCTGCTGTTAGATTCAATATAGGATCGGAGAGGCCATAGAAAATTTTAACCAGGAGTTTAATGACAGTTAAAAAAACATATTTAAATACAACCTCTTTCGACTAACCTATTATAATCTACAGAAATGTGACAACAGCTGTCAGACAAATATAAATAATAACAAAAGTTTATTCGCATAAATTAAATGAATTATTAATATAGCGCGACATTCATATAAATAATAAAATGACAAGCCTAACAAATTTAGTGATACCATCTAATATAATACATGTTGTAGGAGATCAGAAAAACTCTATTGAAGAGGATTGTGTAATGGATCACTTCTATACTTTGTCGCATTATAATTTTCAAATATTCTTTTAATATTATCGCTTCTAACTTATATTAAATAAGTTGGCTTATTCAGAACTTCAAAAAATATATTAAATCGGGAAAAAAGTTTAATTACGCGAAGACAAATGTCTCGAGACAAAAAAGTTCTAATAATTTAAAACCTTTTTGTATATGGTTCGAAATATTAGAATCTTCATACGTAATTTATATAATATTTTTTTTCAGGTGGTTCCCCCAGACGGTGGTTGGGGTTGGGTCGTGGTTGTAGCTTCATTCATGTGCAACTTCATCGTTGACGGCATAATTTTCTCTGGAGGAATGCTTTTGACTCCCATACAAAAAGAATTTAAAGTAAGTGAATTATCAACTTGATACATCAATGCATATATTTATACTTAGATCCGGAACAAAAATTTGAATTGCAAATTAAATAAGATCGGTTTTTTTTATTACTACATGGAAAAATACAGAAAACAGTTCTAAATGAAACCACACCCACCAACTGCGTCACAGCCGTGCCTCCAATTGAAATATTAATAGCCAAACATTTATCTTATTTCCTATTGCAGTGTTAGAGCAGACCCGTGCATAATTAATTACACACTAAAGAAACTAATATATATTAGTAATTTAAATGTAGACGAAACAATAGTTAACGCGTTTAGTCCAAGAAAAACTATTTTAGGTTCAGTTAAATTTATGTTTAGATTTGTTGCGACATAGGTAGTTTTTTGTTCCAAACGTTTTCTGGCAATACACCAAAGTAGACTAAGAATTGGGTCATAATGTGATCGGCTAATTATCGAGTCGTGTTGATTTATAACACACGTGCGACCAAAATTGTCGGGCAATGATCTACTTCAAGATATGCCACTTAACATATCACGTATAAAACAAATAAAAAATATATGAAATAATTAGTTTATAATTCGATATGATATATCTCGCCTTTATAACAGATTCGACACAATGCTAAAGTTGGAATTACCATAAAGTTAAGGCCAAGGCTGCACTGTCTACAACGAGCGCGGGAAACGAATTCATTCATGTTTAATGTTAATTCAGTATGAAATGATAACGTATCGGTAGAAATACATCACGAAGGCAAAGTCATAGTGAACATAATATATACTAGCTTTCCGCCTGCAGCTTCGCCCTCGTGGAGTTCGGTTATATCGCGTTTCCAAGAAAACCTTTCAAATATCCGGGATAAAAACTATCCTATGTTCTTTCTCAAGGTCAACTCTATCTCTGTACCAAATTTCATTAAAATCAATTCAGCAGTTTAGGCGTGAAAGTGTAACAGACAGACAGAGATACTTTCGAATTTATAATATAAGTAAGGATAGGCTTTATAGTAAAAAAAAATCTAAAAACAATTCAACTCGTCCGTCTGGCGCCTAAAAACATGCCGGTTGAATAAAACACATGACATGTCGGTCAATTAATTACACAATTTACACCGATCCGATATCTCGTGGTGCCGAATGACTGGAAATAACCAGAATAATATTAACGAGGGTTGCCGCTTTATTAACATTATATTTCTATTTTACGACAAATAAGTTTCCAATAATCGCTTTGGATACCTTGGTTTAATAATAATTGGTTCTTTAATAGTTTTGATGTGAATGGAAATAAAATGTATCTCAAATTTACGATTTCTTGGGAAAAATTACTCAACTATAAAACCATATAGTTAATGTTGAATAATTTTAAATATTGTATTAAGCTGGTTAACGTAACTCAGTAGTTATTCCTCAATCTTTGGATACCAAGAACTGAAAATTACAGAACAATTAAATATATGTTTAAAATCGAAATGTCACATGTGTTCGCGTCAAGCTTTCGATTGGCGAAAGTGCAGTAACCCTCGACGTACCATAGAGGTCAACGCACTGAATCGGCCTCTAGACGCCATTCTTGCATTTATCTCAACAAATATCGATTAAATTATCCAACTTAAACGCATTAGGATTTATGTCATGACGGGTAATTTAATTTTAATCGTTGTTTACATTTTAACACCATAATATTTACTGTATGCAAAAAAGAATCTAAAACAAATAGGAAACTAGGTTGAATTTTATATGACAATATTTATAAGTACTGTACATATATTCTTGTAGTTTAATTGCTGTACGATATGACGTCTGTCGTAGGAACAATTCGAAAATATAATTCATTTTAATAAAATTGTTTTTTTTTGTATCGTAATTGACGTCGCGACTACAATAATTGATATACCATTGACAGGACCCAGCATGAAATTGAGAAAACAATTTGTTGATTGACATCGTTAGTAAAGAATTATCTGTACAAAAAATATGACGTTTGATGCTAGTGACAGTGACATTAAAAAATTAAAACTGTCAAAAGTAGAGCAAAACTGTCATTGTTTTTTTTTTAATTTCTTTATATGGTCATCAAATTCGCTTTGCCAGTGATGTTAAAGTCACTAAATTAAAAATGAATTCAATGATATATGTAATAAAAACTATTTTATTCGTAAAAAAATACTTGTCTATTTTTGTAATATGAACAGAAAAAATAATACGATAAACATAATGAATAAAAGTTTTAAACGCAGTCGGTATTTTAAATATTACGCATATGCATGTTTGTAAACAAAACGTAAAACATTCTTCCTGTTTTGATTAATAAATATTAATAATTAATATGTATAGTTAAGAATAACTTAGATTAAACAACGTAATTCCGTTCATGGCTTATAAGAAAATATTTATTTTTTACATTATATAACACATTTTTTAATAAAATTGTTTTTTTAAAGTAGCAATTGTTTAATGTCAATAAACAGCTGCTTTTTAACCCCCATGTTTTAGTATATCCGTTTATATCCGACATGTGGCGAAAACCGATGGCTATAGTCATTACATAATTACCAAAATGGCGGCCGTGCAAAAATAACTACACCATTAAAAATTCGGCGTAAATTATCAATAAAACATCTGCTGATGTAATGTCCGGTTCGCATGACTGAAAGTGTATACAGAATAATAATCATTTAAAAATAGTTAATGTTTTTTTATCAAAATTAATGTATAATTTATATGGTTATTTAAAAAATGGGTCGTAAACTAAGCAACTATCCATGTATGACTAAACAGTAAAATGCACAGACGTATTCTCGTTATTATGCAGAAGCTATTACCTAAGTTGGTTCCGTTATACCAATAGCTTACCAATGAACGGCGCTTGGACATCGTAAAGTTGCATACAGAGGTTCAGTACATAGCTAAAGTTTTTTTTAGAAAAAACGCTAAACTATGCTTATACAAGGTCCATATTAGTATATTTTTAGTGGCTTGCTTCTCACATACGTTCTGTTAGTAGACTTTGTTACGGTAGTGTAATCAACTTTGCCCTTGTTTAAATTTCGCTGCACAAATATAAAGATATTATGTTAACAATGGATTTTGTTTTTGTTCTGTTTTATGTTGAAACCTTATAATGTTGTCAACTTGTCTGTTGTCTGCCTTTAATTCGTTAGATTGGAGTACTAGGAAATGTTAATTCTGTTTTCATTAATATTCAAGCCAATACAATACATTTCTTTTACTGATACATTGAATCTCAATATAAATGAAACTCAAAGAATGCTACAAATGTCATTCAAACGAGTCAAGTGGGTCAGTGAGATCATTGAAATCGGAAACACATCTGGGAAGTAGTTAAACTTGCAAGTCCACATTGAACAGTTGTAACTCACAATTAATCTAATTGTTATGACTATAGCTTTCAGGTGATAAAATTTCTAATGATAATTCATTATTTCTCTTTTACAAAGAAATAAACTAATAAGATGACGATGACACATATACTCATCTTTAAATTTCATACTTTGGGTTCTAGTAAATTAAGACTTACGAAATAGTGCTTGGATTTTATTAAGTCAAAAATATAGTTATCTTTATATATATAATTCTTCTGTGAGTGTGTATGTCACTGAACTTCTCTCAAACGACTGGACCGATTTTGATGAATTTTTTGTGTGTGTTCAAGGGGATCTGGGAATGGTTTATATTTACAATTTTGTCCGCTGGACAATGTTTTTTTAATTAATTTTTAATTTATTAGTAGTTGTTGATACAAACTTTTTTTTACATTAGATTTGACAACTAACTAATATGTCAATCATTCTGTCGCACTTCAAAACACGAAGAGTTATGGCTTTAATAGGTAAACTCCAAAAATATAAATAAAAAAACGTAGCAGATATTTCTTGATTATAGGGCGATACGAAGTTCGCCGGGTCTTCTAGTACTTTTATAAGCTTCTAAATTCAATTTTGTATTTTCTACAGGCGACTGACGGACAGGTGGCACCGGTGAATTCATTGTTGGCGGGATTTTATCTTTTAGCGGGGCCTTTCGTATCAGCTTTGGCAAACAAGTAAGTTTATTACAACATATACGAGCCATCCGTCTTAATGACCTATTTATTATAATTTATTTCACCAATTCTAAGCTAATTTGTAACTTCTGATATAAAACATTATACCTACAGCTGTATTTAATAAAGTTTACAGGATTCATAATTAAAGCGATAATGTGTTTGTATTTTTTTTTGAACATGTTTCTATTTAGACCGAATGCAAAATATTACTTGCTAATAAAGTAAAAACTTAACTAAACATTGCATATTGTTAAAACTAAGCAAAATATATTTTTTTTTCAGATATGGTTTCCGTGTCGTTACAATAATAGGTACTCTAATAACAAGCACTGCATTCGCGTTATCATATTTCGCGGAGAGCGTCGAGTATCTTTATCTTGTGTACGGCGTCGTGGGAGGTTTGTTTAAATTATACTTGTAACTTCAGTTAGACGATGTACGCGTTTCATACAACACAATACTATTATTAAGTCGTATACATTGACGTCATAGAAGACAATACATTATTTGCATATTATTAAAAATTTGTACTGAGATCTGCTATTGTTGGAAGTTATATAATATTTTTTTTGATCATTCATTTTTAAAATTCGAATGCCTTAGATTTTACAGTACGTAATATCGAATAAAAAAAATCTGAAAATTTGAATAAGTTACGTATTGTTATTTACATATTAGTTTCAATATTAAAGATTGCTTTTGATAATTTGTGTTTTTTCTCTAAGATCGTCTTAAAATAGTTCGTTTTATATACTTTTTATTTCCGACCCCGTCTTTATAAAACTATTTTATCACCAGGCGTGGGTTTCTGCATGATTTACATGCCGGCTGTACTCACTGTTGGTTTCTACTTCGAACGTTGGCGAGCGTTGGCCACGGGGTTGGCGTTATGTGGCTCGGGGGTTGGCACATTCGTGTTCGCGCCCCTAACTGACATGTTGAACGAACGAGTTGGATGGAAAATGACTATTGTTATACATTCTGGTATGTTTAATATTATTCAGAAATTTAATATTATGTTTGTTCTATTAACATTAGATATATATATATATATGTATGTTTATTTATATAAATATTATTTTATAATGTATGTAAGTATGCACTGAATCGCCCGCTGTATGACTCTTATCACTCACCTCCATAGGTTGACTGGAAGAGATCTCTTTTAGAGATAAGTCCGCCTTTTTGTATGTTTTTTTTTCTATTGTGTTATTTTCTGTCTTGTGTTTTTTTTTGTGCAATAAAGGATATATATATATATATATAAAATATTTTGTCGCTTTAAATAAAAAAAATTAAATTGTTTTAAAAATGATAATAAATATATATTATCTTTGTTACAGGATTAGTGCTACTATGCATCATATTCGGAGCTATGTTCCGTCCGATAAATCCCGTCCGCGTTACCTTAGCTGACAAACAAGACGAAGACGATGATTCGAGGAGACACGAAGAAGCTGTTGAAAAATTGAATTCTATGTTGAAACTGCAAAGCAAACTGGACTCCGGTATATCGATGCCGGCAGAAATGAGATTCACCAACAAAGTTAGCCCTCACACTTGGATGGGCGTAGCAAATAACACTCGCTATCCGACTGCGGAAGAAGTTTTCAAAGGGAGCAATTCTCATATAAGCAGAAGGTCATCAGCGACCGCTGGCACTATAAAGCATAACCTCGGAAATAAGCCCATGTTCATAGCTTTACCAGTCGCTGAGAAGGACGAACAGGAAGACTCAAACAGCAACATCGATAACGCTGAACCTCTCATCTCTAACACAATCAAAGTCATCACGAGAGACCAAAGACCGCGTAGATCGCATATGGATCTTGTAGCGAGACCGTTCTATCGTGATGATATTTTCTTTAGCGGCAGTCTAGCCAGACTACCTCAGTATACATCAAGAACTTCACTAGGCTACCACTTAGCTGTAACCCACGTACCAACACAAGAAGACGCTCAAGAGGAAGTTTCCAAACAATGTCGATTATGCCCAGAATCGGTCAAACGAGCTCTAGCAACTATGTTGGACATAAGTCTCTTCAGATCTCCTACATTCATACTTCTAGCTATCAGCGGATTTTTCACTATGTTGGGCTTCTTTGTACCATATATGTACGTGAAGCAAAGAGCTGAAAGCAATGGTGTAGGTAAAGCAACAAGTGTTATGTTGGTGTCTGCTATAGGTATAGCTAATATCGTGGGTCGTATCGCGTGTGGACTGGTGTCCTCGATGCCTAAAGTGTCTCCGTTGTGGCTGAACAACATAGCGTTGTCTGCGGGTGGTATTGCTACTATGATGAGCGGACTCTGCTATGAGGAGTATTTCCAGTTCGGTTACTGCGCTGTTTTTGGATTGGCTATCGGTTAGTTTCTATGTTTCTAAGTTTCATATTTTTTAATTTTTTATAATAATTTTATATGGATTTTCTAAGTTTCTCATTTCTTTTCCTAAGATTATGATTGAATATATTTTTATGTTTAGTTATCATTTGCATGTTTATATTTCAATTTAGTGATGTACTTTTTGATTTCATTACTTCCAATTTTATTCTTATTTTTATTATCCTTACTTTTTTTCTGTTAAATTTGATGGAATCAATAAAGAAAACATATTTTACTTTTTATATCACGTGTTAAGTCTTAATAGCAGTGTTGCCAGCTTCAATAATTCTATACTAAAAGGTATTTATTATCTGCCTACAGCATGTTTCGCGTCTCTACGTTCAATACTAGTAGTGGAGTACATCGGCCTAGAACAACTTACTAACTGTTTCGGACTCTTCCTACTTTTCCAAGGGTTTGGAGCTCTCCTAGGAGCACCAATCGCGGGTAAATATAGTGTTGCCATCATTAATATATTAAATTAAATTAAAATAGTAACTTAATAAAATTTTCCTCATTACAATGTATACAACTGCATATAAATGTTGCTATTATTAGTGACTGCTATTTATTGTGTAAATAACCAATCTAATTATTATAATAATATGTCAAAGTAAAATCACACTGGCAAATTATAATCAATATTTACTCATATTTTTAGTGTCGTAGATAATAAAATTTAATTATCCTACCACCATAACATTTTTATTATTATTTCAATATATATTAAATCGATTATATAACATTTGATACTATTTGCGACGCGGAAATATTTTTTTCACATTAACATATTCTGGCGCCATTTTGTTCATTTTTGACATATAAATAGTCACGTGTTTAAATTAAACAGCCTGCGTCCTTGAGTTCAAATCAATTAAAACGTGATGAATTGGAGATTTTTGAATATAATTTAATATTTATATATACTTTTTCTTTTTATAGGCGCTCTCATGGACATGACGCACAGTTTCGACATAGCGTTCTACGTGTCCGGCAGCTTCCTATTATTTTCGGCTGTAATGATCTATCCAGTAGATTATGTAAGCAGATGGGAAAAATCTAGAAATAAACTAGCATCACAACAGAACGCGTAAATTTAATGCGTTACGAAAAGAATTTAAATAGATATCGAACAATTTCCGTTGATTGAAACGGAAGTGAGTGATCTTATAACATCCTTTTTTTAAAGTCCGTTTTAGGATTACGTTTTTGGCAATTTTTTTTATTTTATTAATATTTCGACTATATCACTGCCTTCGTCTTTCCATATATTATTTTATAAAATATATACAAAAATTTATATGAATTAATATGTATGGCACGAGATTTTTATATTAAAGAAAAACAATAGGAAATTTACATCCTAAATATTTTGAGTAGATCCCAATTTTGTACACGACTGTACTTATTGTTATACAACTTTTTTTCTATAATTAAAACTTATACAATAACCCTAAGATATATTCACAGCACATATCTTTTGTACTTAATTATGAACATCACATACTTGCCATATCAATAATCACATTTTTTAGTTTAATTAATTTAAAATTAGTAGGTCTATAGGGGCCATCCATAAAATACGTCACACTAATTTCATGAGTTTTGAGCCCTCCCCCGTCCTTGTCACAGGTGGTCACATTTCTGAGACCCCCCCCCTCCCTAGTGTGACGTCACATGTTTTGCAATTTAACATCGAAAAATTATTAAATTAAAACAGCAGTTCCGAAATTAGTTTTATTTCCATTTAAAATAAGTACTTTTTTAAGAAATCAACATAGTATCAAATATTTGAAATAATAAATAAACTAATGAATATATACAGGGTGACTGGTGAATTACTATCGATATTTGAGGACGTGATATTTGACGATTATATATGACAAAATAAAAATTAATATAACATAAATATTAATAAACTTCTAAGTAAAGTTAACTTTATTTATTTATACGGAAATTTAGTCAAAAATTAAGTACCTTTTTTTTACATAATTCGAATGAGAATCATGTACCGAGTATTCTCCTTAAATATTGATAGTAATTCATGTGATGACGCGCTCAGTTTTAAAGATTTTAATTAATATTTCAAATTACGCGATTAGTAGCTCTAGATTTTGAAATGTGATGTCACGAAACTTAGGACCCCTCCCACCCCTTGTCACACCATGTCACACTTTGTCGACCCCCTCCCACCCCCTTTACGTGTGACGTACTTTATGGATGGCCCCATATTTAGAAACCAATAGAAATTCATATAAACCTAAAGAAACTTTTATATTATTGGGAATATGATTAAGTTTATCCCTATCGGTATAATTGCCATACTGTGAAGGGATTGTCCTGCGACCCCATAGGGTATAGATGCATTTAAAATAGGTTAATTATAATGTAGAAAGACTTTAAATGTTTTATAACATGGATTTATCATTATACTCGGACTTTGCTTGGTAGATCTGAGCCCTATGTACCTTTAATTAGATTAAGTTATTTCGTCGAATTCATTATGAATTACAGTGTAACCCAAAACAGAAATGTTCAAATCACTGTATTGTTTATGTTAACTTAAATAAGATTATGAGCTGGTTTACAATATTATGAACAATTAACAAATAAATGTTTTGTAACAGAAATTTTCAAATACAAACAATCGCCTAGTATTGGTTTCCTAGTTACTGAAACTTCGAATTTCGAAAATTACAAAGTGACGCTTATGTATTATGAGATTGATATTTACAAACATTTATTTAAATTATAAAAAAAATGACATACCTATAGTAACCGGCGCGTAGCTTGGCAAGATTTTGGCGAAACATTGATAAGTTTTGCGTATGTACAACAAAATAAGTCACTTTTTATGTTTTTAAATACCAAAAATTCGTAACACTAGAAAAACAAAGGTCACGGATCAACGGGTTCAATTGAAGTACTCAAAAGTCAAAAGTGTATTCGGGAGCGAACAGCCAATCACACGCGAGGAATTGTGCTATCTCACTCCCCCTTCCCCGCATTATACCTATGACACCTAAAAATCGCATTCTGCGCAACTATCCTTTCTTGCAAAAACGTGCCGGCTATTATACTTATAACTTTAATCAAATCAGTTTCTAAATGTTATCCTATGTGCATGGTGTTTAATAGATATCCATATATAAACTCACGATGATTTGGTATTCGCTTTTGTTATTAAAATACAATACAACGATTGTAACGTCGTTTCCGCCCCGTGTGGTGCTACATTAGCCAATAGAATACTTTATATTATAATACTTGTGTATCCTTCATAAACGGTGAGTGCCGATGCATAATATAAGACTATTATTATTATTTTAGGTATTGCATACATTGCAACGAGTGATTCTTAGGATAAAGTAATTATTGACGTTTGTGCCTTAATATATAAAGTGATACTTACCTTATATGTAGATATAAAAATTCATAGTAATAAACAACTGTCTATACAAAATTCTTATTAAGACAATGATGTTCCAATGTAATGCATTATTGTATATTATTATATTTAGTTGTAATTTCCCTAATTGTAATCGAATATATTTTAAGTTATACGGCTGTGGCTGTCATTACTATTTAGTTTATAAACCTAACTTAACATCTCAATAGAAAAATCATAGTCATTTTTGAAAGGAAATTATAGAGAAAGACGATAAACTGAAACTTTATAATTAATATGTACTTTTATTGTTGATTTTCATTCATTTTATTTCGCTAGTGTCATCTGAGGAAGAAAAAAAGCTTGGAAAAATTTGTGTAAAAAATATCAATGTCATTGTCATTTTTACGTCAGGAAAATTCGGGTAATATTTTAATGATACTTATTGTTAAGTTATTTGACTGATTCTGGTCTAATATATGTATATATGGATGAAATTTTAGTTTCTGTTTTCTCCTTAGTGACTATGATTTTTAACTGAATATAATTAAATGTCATTTGCGGTATGAGAGCTTGCTTGCTTTTTAAATATTTATTCCCAGAATTAATGCAACAGTACCTTCCTATAGTAATGCAAGCAGGTCTTGTTATACCATAAAAGGGTTATTGCCTAAGCTGCGACTTTGTATTAATAAAAAAAACCTTTGTTGTTACCTTTGTCTTTTATTTATTTTATCTGTTTTATACTATAAGAGTTGGGAAAAATGTCCTTTTAGTGAAGATATATTTTTAAAAATATAAAGGTAAATCATATTGAAATCCTATTACAAATTTTCTGCTTTTTTTGTCTAAATAATTTGAAGAACTTTATTTTGATGTTAGATTATTTTTATTTACTTCATAGTCTACATGTTGTTTTCATAACTTTGGACGAAAGATGGAAAACCATTAAACGAATATGTATATAGATTTAAAAGTATTTTCTAAATTGTAACTTTTTTATATTGACAAATCTCAAAATTCATACGTAAACATACCCCGTAATAATCGCACATCTCATCAATAAAGCCAATTAGTCCGTCTGGTGCACCACTTATACCTAGTAGAGATAGTACAATTACAATTTACAATATAGCTTATTAATTGAAATAACAAGTAGCAATCTTATTATTAGATATTATTACTTCTGAGATGCTCAAAAGAGCTCGAATACTTCTTTACGAGCTCTTCTTTTATACAGGGTGACTGGTGAATTACTATCGATATTTGAGGACGTGATATTTGACGATCATATATGACAAGATAAAAATTAATATAACATAAATATTAATAAACTTCTAAGTAAAGTTAACCAAAAGTTATGTAATTAATTACGCATCGTATGAACACCCTACAGATTAGGTATACACACACACACACACATACGCGAGCGGGGGCGTGGTGTTGTATCAGCACGCCGCCGCACGCGTTCACACTTGGAACACTTGGAACGTGTCAACACTTTATTTATTTATACGGAAATTTTGTAAAAAATTAAGTGCCTATTTTTTTTACATAATTCGAATGAGAATCATGTACCGAGTATTCTCCTTAAATATTGATAGTAATTCACCAGTTACCCTGTATAAAAGTTTGATATCAACTAATTTTGACAGTAAGATACTTAAAACGTGATTTTCATAAGTAACGTCAATAAAATGTAACGTTTTGTGTGACGTCATCGGCGTGGTATTCAGATTTAGGGAGAGAAATGTATGCACAATGTAATTGTGTAATTATCTGCGTATTCAATATAGTAGATCGTTAATGTATAGCCAAGAAAAAGTTGCATTGTGGACAGAAATACTATAAACAGGAAATTTTCCGAAAGCAAATATCTAATAGAAGTAATTGCTAAGGCAAAAGTTACAGGCAAAATCACATAACTATATTTTAACATAAAATATGATAACGAATATCTTGATGACAACAAAATAGCCGATTAAATAAAATAATTTACATTTATTCTATAAATAAGATCCCACTTCCTAAAATTACTGATGAAATGCTTTGACAATATAGTTTAAACATATCTAAATAGTATATTTTTAAATTAGAATTTCTTTTTAATTAACATAGAAACTACCTACTATGAATTCCAATTGAACAAAAATATGTAACCATTTAAAGATATTGCATTCACAAATACAAACTTATTTATTTTAGATGGGAAGATGATAATACGGTCGCACTTCATGTCATAATTAATCACTTCTCAGTCTACCAATAGGGAATATGCTTATTTTTTATATTATAATGGAAAGGTTTTTTTATTTACTTATAATTAAACGCCTAAAATAAAATTCAAAATGTACAAAATAAGGGAGCCAAATTCAAACTTCCAAATCGCGCCACCATTGGTCAAACGAAATATGACGTCATCTAACACAACATTGCATCTGATGAATGCAACTCACTGCGTGAAACTCACTGTTTTACAAGTTTTTGTAAAACAAAATTAAATAATTTCAACCTGTATTCTTATTTTGATAGTAGTTTAGACTCATTTTATTTTAAACGGAATATTGTCACTTAAAAGTTTTATTAAATGATATGATTATTTAGGTAATCCTAATATGTTTGTCTCTCTTTCAATAGTAGTTAGCATACTACTACACATTACATTTTCAACTGTTTCTCATCCTCTAAATTATTTTGCACTTTGATGATTGATAATTTGATTCATAATCATCAGTGACCATCGAAGGATAAAATGATATAGAAATAGTATCCGCCGTTTTATTTGATTTCTCCTTGCTATTTCATTAAATTGTGTTCTATATAATTTTTTGTATCATAATCTAGAATAAATCAACAACCGTAAAAAAAAGTCATAAAACCTCAACAGGAATAAAGCTTTTATAGAAAGTTATAGCACTTTTCTTATAGGTAAGGTTAATACTTCAATTATAAGGTTAATACTTCAATTATAAGTATTTAATTATAGCGGTTAGTCTTTCGGTAGCCAGAGCGCAAAAGGGAATAACCACAAACGAACGATCAGTAGGTTTTGTGAGAGAAGGCACTAGGGCTACAAAATCAAACGTCAAGCCTTACTCCATCCTTAAAGCGGCGTCGGATTGGACTATAATGATGGACACGTATGAAAAACAATATAAAATCCCCGAGGATATTTGTGCGTCGGCCTCCAGACCGGATATATTTTTGTTTTCGCGAATTTTAAAGCGCGTAGTGATGATAGAGCTTACGGTCCCTTGGGAAACCAACATCCCCAAAGACCATACCATCAAGGTCAACAAATATTACGAGCTCACAAACGAACTCACTCGAAATAGGTTCGTAGTAGATTTGTACGCGGTAGAGGTGGGAGCGAGAGGTATAACAGCGAAATCTCTCTATAACCTACTAAAGGACTTGGGCTTGTCCAGAACTCACATTAATGCATTCTTGGAACGTACATCGAAGGCAGCCCTAGTAGGTTCTTTTCAAATTTGGTTAGGTAGGGAGAGGAGCTTGGACAGTGGAGGTGAGAGTATAACGCGCGTTAGTTAAGGGGCCCCTTAAACCTACACTTGGGTCGCAAGTCCCAGGCACTGTTGAAGCTCCTCCCCCTGCAACGCGATGGACCCGGCACCCGCACGGTGAATCCATGGAATGCTGAGAAGTTTCGTCTTATTTTTGGCTTCTTCCATAGTTTTATACTTATTAAAACTGTAAACATGTACGAAGTTAAACTGCGTAGTTCATAGTAAAGACCCACTGGAAGTGTCGTGTGCAGTGTTTCCACATTGAGAGGAAATTAGGAAATTTAGGGGAAATTAGGGTCAAGAGGGAAAAGAAAAGGGGAAATACTATAAAAGGGGAAATTGTGGAAATCAAAGATAAATGAGGGTTTTGAGGAGGAGACGTAAAATATTATTTAATGTTAACTGATTTGGAATAAAAAATGAGTATACAACTTCATTTTTTGTTTTTATTATATTTCTGGTCAGTTTGTAAATAAAACACAAATACGATAAATAAACGATAAATTTTAGGTGTGGCGTGTGGTGTCAAAACTACAGCAAAATAATTTTTGAGGGGAAAAAAGTCCGTAGAAGGGGAAATCTGAATTGAAGTGTGGGAAAAAGAAATCGTTCTAGTGGAAACACTGGACGTGTGACGTCACGCAAGGCGCGCGCGTAATGTCAGGATTTTAAACAACTAAATTTTTTTGTCTCAAATTCCATTTTTAAAAATATCTAAAGTATTTTAAACAACATTAATATTTTTTCTATGTTATAAAATAGTAAACTATTAATTTAAAACAAAAACATACATGAATACCCCCTATTATCCGAATAAGTCAACTTTGTATATTAACTCGTGCATGACAAATTATTTCAAATAGGTTCTTGTATATCGTGATAAATATCTTATTTAACGTCACTATTATCTAAAATTTGTAATACATCTTGTTAGTTTATGAATGTGTTCATAACTTCTATTTCTAATCAATATTGTTAATAGAAATGAAAATTAGCGCGAATTCTGATTATGAGGTCTCTAAGGATTTTCTCAACCCTTCAAATCATATATGGTATTTACCACAAATTTTCAAGAAACTTATTGAAATTGAGCTCTAAACATATTTCGAAAATGTTAACAAAATACTACATAACAAATCGGGCAAAAGGAGGATTCATAGTATTTTGACATATAAATGGAGAATATTCGTATAAAACATATTTAGACAAACAAAACCCCATAAAAATAAACTCAAAAGCATCTTTTCAGAGTATTTTTTTTCTCAATAAGTGCAGAATTTTAGTTCCATCTAAAATTTCATGAGAATTAAGGCTAAATGTAACTCCATATGTCAAAAATATATTACAAAGACTTTCACATTAACAGTATTAATTTAAATGGAAGTGATTTTATCCGGTTACTTTATTATTTTTCATTTTCATCTCATTTGTCCGTCATCATGGTTGCTGCAAAGTAACCAAAACATTAGGAGTATGTATTTTAAAAGCAGAAAATTTTAGTTTCCTTTTAGTCTGCTACATATTAAAAGGAAAGAAAAAATAATAAGACCTAAGTTTTTGCAAAAGTTGTTATATTTGCAGCATATTATTTATAATACAAGTCTAAGAGTTTGAGTTGGGTCCGCGCCGACGGCCGAAGGTTTGGACGACGTTCACAAACCTAAAATAATAAAAGAAACATTATATTAAAACTAAAACAATTAAATAGTTGAGATAATTTTATAAAACTGCATATTAAATATATGATACGTGTAACATTTAGAATTATGAAATTTGTTGTAACAAAACACATGAACAGAATTTTTGTTATGATACATTTAGTTCGAAAGTTGTAATACTACAACATACACATGATAAACCTATTCTTGTTGAAACAAATTACTTTGATTGTAAACATTTTGTCTGTGCATTGAATGTAAAAAGTAATAAAATTGTACATATAAAATTTGCAAACTGGCACCGATAAACTTGAGCTTTTCTAATTATTATTTGATTATATAAAACTTTATTTAAATGACAATGTTTAACAAAGACAAGTTAGATATTCATACAATAAGTTTATGAATATTTCTTCTGTAATATTAAAACAGCTATGGAATTGAGAAAGCTGACATAGTCTATTGCAATTATTAAATATGAAGCTTTATACCTACTAGCTATAAAAGTTAATTGAAAGTAACATTCAAGTAGAAATATATATAATAAAACATTCGACAATGCTTTATTTTGCTTTAAATATTATTACTTGATATAAAATTCAAAACAAGAGGATTTAGAACCAACCAATTTACAATTAGAATAAATAAACTATTATAAATTATTTCTGAAGTCCCAGGTTTTATTCTGGCTGATATCAATAAATTTTTTATTACTTACTTTCTACTGAATGTATATAGAAGTGTTAGCTACCATTAATGTTTAAATGAGAGTTATTATTTTAGATCTCACCTTCTGTTGTATTGGATCCTACGTTTAGCACGGCCAGTCTTCTTCTTCTTTTTCTGTTGTTTCTCTACCTTTGGGGTTTGTCCCTTTACCTTACCTAAAAGTAATAAAAATAATTGTGAAATCTTAACATGAAATAGATATTTATTCATAATAATATATATTACAATCAATATGTAATTGGTTGCCACAAATATTTGTTATTATTATTATTTAAACAGGTTTAAAAAACAGTTTAAAATGATGTAAAAACTGAATTTGACATCTTCATTGCCATTTAATTTTTTGTTTGTCTACTAAGTGTCAATAATTAAATTGTAGAAAGATTTCAGAAACTAGAGGATCAAGCAATTTCAGTAAACATTCTAAATAAAAATATAAACAAATTACGAAAAGTTTGTTCCACATAAAACTTACACAAGCACTTGAGAAAACATACCTAACTTATTTTGATAAGTAAAATAGACACTTCCGTTTTATTTTTATACTGAAATAAAATTTTTTATATGAGAATTAAAATACTTTCTTACCAGCACGAGCCAGAGAACCGTGCACTTTACCACCGAGCAGTGGCACGGTAAGGTCAAGTTCTGTTGAAGAGAGTTCAGATACAAGAGTTCCATCCTCAAGAGGAGCTCCACAGACCGACAGAGTCAAGTCCTCAGCGCCAACGTCAGAAAGCGCACGAATACGCTCCTAAAAACATATATAATAGCTATTAAGAATAATATAAAACGTCAAGTTATCATACATAGTACGTCAGAAAGGTTACAACGTGTTTGAATAATGTTTGTAAATTTTTAAGTCTACCTTAATTTGAGCGATGGATTCTTCGCCATTCACATCTAGGATGTGCGTAGATTGTCCTCTGATGTGCAACTGCATTTTGAGGGTTCTGAAATATTCATCATCTATTACTGTGGAAGCATGGTCCTATAGAAATTTAATCTCAACACAATTATTCCTGATAGAACTCTATTTTTATTACGACATTATTGAACATAAAATTATTGTATTCGATTAAAAGAAAATTTAATACCTGAAACCACGATTGCTTTAAAATATCTTTTAAAAACACAAATTTACTAACCTATCAGCCAGGTCTGACAATCGAAAGAAACAATCATGGCGGTGCCGGAAACGGATTTCATAAAATTGAATACCCTTACTAACATATATTTTGCTAAAATTATTTTTCTACCTCTTGATATTATTAACTGAAGTAAAGAAATTTATTTAAAATACAATAATAATATAAGAATAGAGCTATAATGAGTACGTAGCATGAAACTGAGAGATATGTGGTTATTTTAAAATAATTAATTAATGTTACTGTAGCGTTAATTAGAAATTATTGTTAATTATAATATAAACTATTTAAACATTACCAAAATATCATTCACCAATAAAAAGATCAGTTTAATAGTGTAATGTATTAATTTATATTTATATTTCAGTGTTAATGTTGGTAACTCTAATATTACACATTTAAGCTCGTGATTGGTTACCTTTTTAAAAAGTGGTTGACAAATGTCCAGTGACGACTTCACGAGACAGCCGACAAAATGATCACATTTATAGTGTTATAACTGTGGAATTATGGTTTTGGTGCATTTTCTAATGGAGTGTAACGTGATTAAATAAAAACTAAGAATCTTTAGCCATGTTGTCAAGACTTCTTCGTGAGTTCCTGTTTTACATAGTACATTTAATTGTAAATGTACTTGTTTCATTGAAACATTGTTATCGCCGATTTCATAATAAAAATCACTGTTTATCTCAGAAGCAGGTGACTAAAACTGATGTCTTGACATTGTTGGAAAAAGTGCCAAAATTACAAAAATCTCTAAAACACTTAGTTGTGTTAGCAAACACAGATGTGCACTCAACTAGTGATCTTGCTAAGCTGGTTATATGGAGTTTAATAGTAGGAGTTCCTTACGTTAGTTTTTATGATGTCAAAGGTGAATATTTCATTATTTTGCTTCATGAAATTTCTCATTAAAAATTGCTGATATTACCAATATTTAATATGCTTGTATGATGCAATAAGTTTAATTACTGCTTTTGGTTTACCGTGACCACTCAACCATTTATAGGTTTGGTAAAAATATAAGGAAAAATTTAGAAATTTTAAATGGAAATAGTTCTTATTTTCTGACAGAATATTAACAAATTTACCTCAAACTCTTATGAAATTATGATGCATCTGACTCATTTTTATGATTTAAACCATATACATAGCTTAATATCCAAGCATTAGTAATGTTTTATCTTTACAATTTTGATGAAGAAAATATTTGGAAATATGCCTACTATTTAAGTTCTTTACATGATTTCTCTATTATAAAATATACATAATTATTTACACATTATAATATGTGTGTAATATTAAACAATGTTACATATTAAGCTATTATGCAGTGTAGTGTTTAAGTTATTATTTGTGTCATACTGCAGACTGTTTTCTGCAAATATTGACATAAAAATTATTATTTATTACAGGTAATCTAAAGACAAAGGAAAAGGATTTATTTTTTGAGATAGAAAAAAATAAGAAAGGCGTACCTGGTTGTATTAAATGGTCTAATAAAAGACAATTGAATGGTTACACAGATGGTGTACACGGGAATACAGTTTATATAAATATATTTTCATATAGTGATGGAAAACCAAAAATAGTTGATTGTGTCAAAGATATAGCGAATGAGACATTGTTTTGTGAAAGAAGTTCAGATGAGTTTACTGCAAATGAGTTTGATGAAGCGCTGAGGAAAGTTTATCCTAACATTCCCGAGCCGGAATTAGTACTTTATACTGGCCCATTATGTTGTACACACGGCCTTCTTCCCTGGCAAATAAGACTTAGTGAATTTATACAGCTATCATACGATAATAATGTAAATGTAAACAATTTTCTAGGTGCTTTAAATAAATATAGCAAATGTGATCAAAGATTCGGGAAGTGATTCTTGAATAGCCTAAGTCATAAATTATATTCATAAATGATATGAAGTGAGAAGTGTTTATTTAATAATTGTTTCTGATAAATAACAAACCAAGTGTTTTTTTCATAAGTTAAATGTTATACAGTACACCTAATGTAAAATTTATATTTATTGCAATAATGTATTAATATTTGTAGATATATTTGTAAAGAACATACATGCAAAGTAATTTATTCAATGTTTAATTTTATTTTTCCCATTGTTGACCTCTGAAATCGTCTTTATATTATTTCCGGTCCTAATTATTGAGTTATCTATTTCTTATCCTATTATTTCAACATATCACTTGCTGTTATCAATATATTACTAATTAATCAATGAAATAATAGTATTAAGATTGCCTCAATTGATACATGAATACACTTATCAAAGGAAAATGCAATTGCTATAATTTAAATTTTTATTCATGACAAAATTGTATAACTTTATCTTTCAGATGCTTCTAACATTTCTAATTCTAAATATAATATATATATTTTTTTTTTATTTAAAGAAAACAATGTAATGGAGTAATTAAATTTATTTGAATTACACACTAATGCAAATAAAATAATATTCACAAATAACTATTTACACTTGAAGCAAAGCACAGCATCGGAACCTGCAAGGAAAAACAAACGTAATATATCAGTTATATATTCTGTACAATACAAAAATATATAGAAAATAGACATTAGAATTATAGCTAAGTACACACTAATTGTAAGGACGGATAGTTGTCTTGTTTGAGTCTTTGTAGACTAATTGGAAGTAAATAAAAAATACCACCTGTGATATTTGTAACCTGGCGTTCATCTGCGATGGCGGGAATAGTTGTCGTGGCGATCATACCTATCGTAGTCCCTGGACCTATCGTAAGACCTATCCCTGTCGTAGGATCGTTTGTCGCGCCTTCGAGATCTATCTTCGGATCTGTCCCTACTTTTTCTTCGTCCCGATCTTGATTCATAGCTCACTGAACGCTTGGACCTCTTCCTCGATCTATCTTCGTCTGAATCCTCCCTATATTTGTCTTTGTGCGATCTCTCATCACGGCTTCTATGTTTGTGCTTTTCATAATCATTTCTCTTTGATCTAGATTTCTCATTCCTATCGTATTCCTCCTGATGTTTCTTGGAGTAACTTTTCTCGCTGGATTTGTGTGATTTCTCCTTCTTATGTTTCTTTGATTTCTTGTTGGTGTCGCTTGAACTGGTGCTTCTACGTTTTCGTTTTTTACTCCTATTGTTTTCTTTTACCTCCGGTTCACTCTCTGACGATGATTTACTTGTACTAGATGAGTCTTCATCTGAGTCGCTTGAACTTGAGTTTGAACTCGATTTGATAGCTTTAGTTGTTGGTGTTGTTTCGTATTTGTTCGTTTTCTTTGGTGTCTTATCTTCTTGTATGACGTCCAATTTCCTTTCCGTTTTCTCAGAAGACTTGTGATTGCTTCTCTTATCTTTAGACGGTCGACGTTCAGGTTTCTTCTCTGGCGTGTCACTTTCCACCGGCGGCGGAGTAGCAGAAGAACCTATTCATATATATTTAGACTTTTATATGTAAGTATAAAACTTTATAAAGTTACAGAGATAGATAGTATACATATGTACAAGTGTTTAAATTGAAAAACATATTACAAGTACACAAACTCTTCCTTCATTGATCTTCTCTATTATTATGTCTATTTACTGTATATTCTCACTACTATTATAAATAAATAATAAAGAATTTTTAGCAAATATTATTTGTGTCTAAACATTTTACACTTTACACAGTGTGGTATCTACTAGTTCTGTCTCTTTTACTCTCTATATAAATATATCTATCTCTCTCTACTCACGTGATCTCCGCGGTCTCTCCGGCGTGTCGTGATGCTGAGAGCCCTCTTCTTCGTTCTCTCTCTGTTCAGCTCGTCTCACCTCAGCCTCTATCTCCCGTGAAGTACGTTCGAACTCTTGACGCTTCCGTCTTATGATCTCCTGATACAAAAATATAATAAATGTGTTAAAGTTAAAATAACTAACAAGTTATTCCTATTGGTAGTTTATATATGAATTATCCCAAGAGTTAATCACTTCATGATATCAAAACAGACGAAGAAACAAGCCGTACTTTTTTTCTCAAATGTTTTGATGAAAATATTTAAAATGTACATTTTGTATTGGACAAAATAATATTTTGTGATCTAACATACCAAACTAAATATATCTTAAAATAGATGCATTTTCATGGAATAAAAATATTGGCATACATTTCATTAGCATTCATCCTGTTCATAAAAGACATACATAAAAAAAAGTAATATTATTATATTTATTATATACTAGCTTTCCGCCCGCAGCTTCGCCCGCGTGGACTTCGGTTATATCGCGTTTCCAAGAGAACCTTTCAAAAGTCTGGAATAAAAACTATCCTATGTTCTTTCTCAAGGTCAACTCTATTTCTGAACCAAATTTCATTAAAATCAGTTCAGTGGTTTAGGCGTGAAAGCGTAACAGACAGACAGACAGTTACTTTCGCATTTATAATATTAGTAGGGATTAAATCACCTGTAACTGCTGATCGGACATATCGTGTTGGTCTTCGTCGCCGCTGTCTTCGCTGCTCTCGTACGCCCCAAGACCTGGATACAGAAATGATGGCAATATTGACGAATATATTGAAAAACATGTCGGCCACATAGTGGCAAACATTGATGTAAAAACAAAATCACTTGTAATATAACGAGTCTTGACGAATCAACGTATACAAATATATATCGCGTAGGAAATAAGTATGAATATATACATATACAGGGTGACTGGTGAATTACTATCAATATTTAAGGAGAATACTCGGTACATGATTCTCATTCTAATTATGTAAAAAAATAGGTACTTAATTTTTAATCAAATTTCCGTATAAATAAATAAAGTGTGGACGCGTTTCAAGTGTTCCAAGTGTGGACGCGTGTGGCGGCGTGCTGATACAACACCACGCCGCCGCGCGCGAGTGTGTGTGTGTGTGTGTGTATTCCTAATCTTTAGGGTGTTCAAACGATGCGTAATTAATTACATAACTTTTGGTTAACTTTACTTAGAAGTTTATTAATATTTATGTTATATTAATTTTTATTTTGTCATATATGATCGTCAAATATCACGTCCTCAAGTATCGATAGTAATTCACCAGTCACCCTGTATATGTATATAATATTTTTGCTTTCAATATTGATATATTAGCTTATTTTCATATATAAGACACAAAATTAAACGAAAACTATCAATCATAATGAGATTTTTGACTAGGAAAAATATTTAAAACCAAATCATACATTGCTAATAGTGTTAAAAATAAAGGTGACACTAATTTTATTTTCCTTTTATTTGTGTTTAAATAATTCACATGAAATTATTTAATATTAAATTTGTATATATAAAATATTATAATATCATAACGAAGTGAGACAGTATATCTGGGCATTGTAAATTATTATTATTATTTTTCATAATAATTAGTATAAGGGGGGTCTTCAAAGGTTCGTAAATTTCTACCAATTTTTTTTATTATCAATATACAAAAAAAGACAAAATTACCATCAAATTTAAATATGATTTTTGATACTAAATATATTTTACCTTATAACAAGGACATTAATAGGATAAATTGAAAAACCCAATCATACATTTAATTGAACATCTATTTCCGGACGGAATCTATTATGTAATATGTTATCTTACCGATGGCATTCCACTAAAGTTGTTAACATGGCCAATACAGTCATTATAAAAACGATTACGAGTTGATGGAATGCTGAAAATAAAGACTTACACATACAGGGTGGTTCAAAATACTTCAAATATATACTCATTTATATACATAAACAAACCACCCTGTATATAATACAAGTTTCTGGCACATTCGATGTTGTTCCGATACTTCATTTTTATTTTATACGAGTTTTGGTAACATTTGGTGTATATGAATTTCTTTGTCGGTTTAGTTTTGATTTATATTTAAAGTTTTTGTTGTGTTCTTGTCACTTACCTGTCACTCCATAGTTCTTCGTTTATTTATTATATTTTTATTACAATTTATTATTTTCCGTACACTTAATTTCCTAGAGGTACCAAGGGCACTTTGATTTAATTTTTATTTTTTCAATTTTTAACACATGGCTCCGAGCCATAGATTATATATGATTTTTTTTTTACACATCGGTCGAACGTCATACAGCCAATAACAACGACATCGGCATATTAATTTAAACACATCGAATGTGCGAGATACTTGTTATCGTGTTCGTATGTTAACTCACCGAGACCAGTGGCGATGGACGCGAGCGCCTTGGACTTGCTCGCCTTCATAGCGTTGAGTCGCGACGCTTTTACCATATAAATAAAACCAACATTAATAACACACACTATATTCATAAATTGTAGACATCTGAAATAAGACTTTATTATAATACACATCACATCTTCGTACACTTTACACAGTTTACAGTCAGTACTCAGTAGGCCAATGTTTCTGTGGAGTATGTCTTGATGTCAGGCGTTTGGTAAAGCCTATTAATACCTTGTGCGGCGTTATACCGAGCCACTTCTTCCTGGCTCACCGTTTGTATCTCGCTGTCTGTCACTTCCAACAGGATCTCTGTTAGCGAACGACGTACCGCTAACATCTGATAATAACAAACATATTAAATATTAACACAACAGCCATCCTTTGAAATTTTATAATCATTAGAACTATCGTCTGTCTATATAAATGTACTAAGATATCGGAACATCTTGTCTTATAAGATTTTTTTTCAGCCTATCGGATCACCACGCTTGCTCAAGACGGGTTGGTGATTTCAAACTTATAATTGTGAAACTATAAGTCCAGGTTTCCTCACGATGTTTTCCTTCACCGTATGTCAGTGGCAGTGGCGGCTGAACCTTAAGTGCACTCGTGCGCTGAACCACCAATTCAAAAGATTTGAAAATTACAAAATATTACTTCATCTTTATTTTTAAATTACCATTTTAATATTTATTTTCTAAACATACAAAAACGTGTAAAAAATAAATTTCTAATTATAGTCAAAAAGTTTGAGCGCTTTAATACATTAATATCTCGTGCGCTTCGGCGAGTGCACGAGGACTGCTAATAAATCTTGTATGAGATACGCATTAATACGCCTGACGCGTGAAACAAAAGATAGTTCATAGAAATGTACCGAGTAATGAGTCGGTTCTCGAGCGCCGCACGAGCGGCCGAAGATTACCGAGAGCACCCGATGTATGACGAATTGGAATATACCATGCACTTGCAAAATGCACTTTCTGTGCTTAGTATTGAAAAAAATAATTATACAAACAATATCCGATTTTAATAAAAATTTGATTAATATTTCGCTTCATAAAAATGTCGTCGCATTGATTTAATGTATAATAAATAAACATAGTTTATGTCAATTGGTTTTTTGTTACATTTTCTAATTTAATATTTTAGTAAAGTTCACCACCAGTTCGATAACCCACCAGCCGCCACTGGTCAGTGGTATCTAAATACTCTCAGAAAGTACACATGTATTCGAAAAATCACATTAGTACTTGCCAGGTTTGCACCCGCGCCCTCGGCAACGAGAGGCGGGTCCTTTAACCACTAGGCCACCACTGAGTGACTTATAAGAATTATTCTTCATTATTATCAAAATCAACATTATACAATCAGAGAATAAGTTCCATAATACCTCTATATGCTATACTCCTTAGTTATGATTAACTGTCATTTGATTTATTAATGTATACTAACCACATCCTGCAGAGCCTCCTCTTTTGATTTTCGTCCGAGGGGCGGAGGGACGGCGGCTGGGGCGGGGGGAGGTGGAGCTTCGCCCTCAGAATCTGAATCCTGGATATATTATATGACATTCATATATTAGTACAATGGATTAATTGGTTTAGTACAGTTATTATAGAAACTTAAAATATAAGTTCAATACAAATAGAAATTTTCAATCCAAAATAAGATAAGGGCCAAAAAATTCAACTATCAAACATTCACGTTTTTGTATGATTGTTGGAGTGAAAACATTTAACTTCAAAGATTTTAACGAGCATAAATAATGTTAACCAGAAGTAATTTAAGTATTTGACGCTTATAATCTCCTAATATATGTATATATTCCTCTACAAGTATCTCTATATTAACACAAGGTAACACACGAATTTGCTCTTAGCCGGTAGCACACTCTGCCCAGCGTCCCTCATCCTCTTTAATTCTTCTTCTTCTAACCTCTTCTTTTCCTTCTCTGCTTCTTCTCTTGCCTTCTTCTCTTGTTCTCGTTCTATTGCCTTCTGTTTCTCACGTTCCATTTTCTCTAAGCCTTTGATTTGAAAGATATATTAATAATTTTTTAAGACAATGATAGTTTCATTGGTGATATTTTCATTTAACTTTTGATTTGACATATTATTAATAATACTTAAATATGAACAAAAAATAAGAATATTAATTCCTATTTTTTAATATTCCAGATAACAATGCTTGCATTCAAAAGAAATATATTATATTTCAGTCTTATGATAGCTCTGTAATTAAAAAAATAATTTCTTTGAATTCTGTAAGATATCGTAAAATTATTGTAGAAGACTCAAGCTATGAAAATAACATTTTTTTATGCTATGGCTTCATTTGTACTGAAAATGTGGAATGTTTTGCCAATGTCAATGTTTATAAAAACTTTAAAATCTATTTAGACATGTGTCATTTGCCTTGCCACTGCCATTAAATGTCAAGTTATTTGTCAATATCTGTTTCATGATATTAATACTATATCATTCTATACAACACTTGCAGATTATACTGTGCATGACTTTGCATGGATGAAGGCTATATTTACAACAATCAACCAATATTACCAAACAATTAAATAAATAAAAGTTAGCAGCAAAATATACATACGACATTTCTAAGCAGACATTCTCTTAAGTGAATTAATAAGTAACAAATATGGCACTGGTACTATCAAAGTACATATATGAAGAAGCTGGAATATATATTAATATAAGTTTATCTAATTTACAGGTCCAGAATGATATAGAAATTGGTCATATATATGGGGTGATCACTTTTCCCACAACTATTAGGATAAGTAGGATATAAACTATCATTTAAGAAATTTATTAAATAGCTCTTTCAGTTGAATTATGGTCTTGCTATAAATATGTATATATATATTTCAAAGAGTTTGATTTATAACAATCCCAGTTAGCTTTATATTAGTTACTACACATCAAACACTTATCAAACAATTCATTTCATTGAACAATTATCTATAAAGTAATTTATTACTTTTAATATGGCCTTATAGTATTCCAGATAGTCTTCTAGGCCATCAAGTTTTATTTAACTGCAATACTTTAATTCCAAATAGATGTTTTTTAAATCATATATAAATATTAGAACAATTACCTTCTCTTATCCAAGCAGGTAACTGTCGTCTTTTAGCCGCATCAATAGTTGATGTTGGGGTCGGCATAACCAATGGTTCCATCACAGGCGGTATTAAAGGTAACTTATCTCTGAAAAACATTCATAATAATATAAATTACATATTTTATATATGTATATTTTAACTGAAGTTAGGAGATGCTATATACAGGGTGACTGGTGAATTACTATCAATATTTAAGGAGAATACTCGGTACATGATTCTCATTCGAATTATGTAAAAAAAACAGGTACTTAATTTTTGACCAAATTTCCGTATAAATAAATAAAGTGTGGACACGTTCCAAGTGTGTGTGTCGCACGCCTGTGTGTGTGTGTGTATACCTAATCTGTAGGGTGTTCACACGATGCGTAATTAATTACATTACCTTTGGTTAACTTTACTTAGAAGTTTATTAATATTTATGTTATATTAATTTTTATTTTGTCATATATGATCGTCAAATATCACGTCCTCAAGTATCGATAGTAATTCACCAGTCACCCTGTGTACAGTAATATTTCTATATTTAAGTCTCAATAATTTTAAAGAAATGTAATCAAAATTTTTCATATAAATATGAAATGAGATACACTTATTAACATTCTTAAGTTAAGTGTGTTTTTTGTATAGCAAAATTAAGTAGATATTTTGTTTGTGTATATTTTCACTGAAGTTATGCTATCCATATTTTTATGTTTTTATTTTTAAATCTCAATAATTTCATAGAAAGCTCATCAAAATGAGATACAGTTATTAACATTCTTCAGTTAATGTGTATTTTGTATAGAAAAATTAAGTAGATCGCATTTAAATTTCTCATACAGAAAACCAATAGACCAATACACCATAAGGTTAAAAATTAAAGACAAATTTACATACCTATGTGATCTACTTCTTGTAGGTTTAATTTCTCTATTTTTGCTCTTAGATCTCCTTTCACGATTCCTGTTATTTCCCGACTGGTCAGAGTTTTGAGCTGTCCAATAACCATGTTGAAATGTTGGGGTCGGCACAGCACCACTCGTATAACTGGAAATATTATTAATAATAAATAGAATATACAAAAGACACTCGCGTATGTTTGAAAATGTTATAAAAACAAACATTTATTTATATAAGAGGCATTTGATTAGAAAACAGAGACTCATTAATAATTATAAGAGCAGAAACTAGATATTTGTAAAAAAATTGTATATTTTTTCAAAACATTACTCTTGTCGGTTAAAACAATTCTTTTTTAATTATTATTTTTCAATATAACTTGTTAAGCCAGTGACATATTCAGTATGAGTAAATATAAAATTGATGGTTATTGAGTATATTATAGATCTTTTCACCGAAATATAAAAGCTGTTAAATTTTATATCCAAACTTTGCATATGATGTTGCTAGTAAGAAAAATTTATATGAAATAATAAAACAGAAATCATTAGTCTACTATTACACTTAAATAAGTATATACATATGTATGTGTTTCATACTGAAACATGGTCATTAGAGTATAATATGATATAAAAGAAATGTATTAATCAATCGACAATACATTAAACAAGGGTGTTTTATACCTATGTAAGGTCTAACAAGATTACTGCTATTGTGTAGTGTAATAGTAATTTTATAAGACTTTAATTCAATTAATATTTAATCCATACAAATATTACAATTTACTTTACTGTAATGATTGGATGTGAAACAAATATATTTGGTGTTCTTCAATTAAATATATAAATATTGTATTACTCTTTAAGTAATATGAAATTTATAAGTCTACTACCAACTTTAAAAATGTTTTTAGGTTATGCAGTTTTTTCTACCTGGCAACTTTCCAGCTTTAGCCAGGGTCGACCTTACATGTTGTAAATAGTTTTGGTTAATTGTTTTTACGACCGGCTGCCTGCCTGACATCAACCCTCTTTGGGAAAAGATTTAAGTTTTGCAAATTGTTGCTATATAATCTACTTATTTACAAAAATATTCATACATTTTTGTTATCATGATTATGAAGACCGGTTAATATAGAAAATTATAAGCTTACCCTGGCATGGTTGTATTGTTATCAGCTACGGGATAGCTATCCATCATAGGACCCATGGCTATTGAAGGGTCACTTGCCATTTTAGGGTCCATTGGTCCCGAGCCACTCCAACCCCATCCTGCTATAAAATTATTATGAGAATATTATATTTAAGTATTAAACTTTAGCTTTCATCATCACATCAAACCATCATTTAATATCCTATACAAGATTTTGTATGAAATGGAGCCAAATTGTTGTGAATTGTTAAACATATTGAATAAATGTATGTTAATTAGTAGTTATCAAGATGTGACAGTACTAAATATTGCGATTCAAGGCCAGTTCTAAAAATATGATAGTTTTATATTGTAATCAAAATTCAGTCTTAGAATCTTCAATTTTTAATCGTAAAGCAAATGTTATAGGAAAAATTAAGACGTTTCTAAAATCTTGCGATATGTTGCTAGAAAGTATAATTTCTGCTTACCCCACTGATTCCAAGAACCTCCCCATGAGTTGGTTGAGGCATTCCACTCGGGGCCTGCGCCGATAGGTGGTTCGCCGGACTCCGGATTTTCTACTTCCATTGGTGCTTCGCCCTCTTCCACATCGGCTTTTGACTGTGGCGTTGACACAATCACAGCGGCTTCTTTCATAGCAATCCATTGTTGTGCTAAAGCTGCCCAATCTACTTGACTTGAATCTATATTTTGATATGCAGTCGGATTTAAAGCCCACTGCGTGGGATATCCTGGATTTACGGCATCTTTGCTAGAGAACATTTTTAATACTAGATTCTAATTAATACTTTTGTCTACTCATAGGATTATTAATAACACTTAATTCCATAAACATTAGCATAGGTAAATTGACTTTTACAACATCACTACAGACAAAATAATTGGCAAATAGCTGTTCGTATTCTATATTCACCACATTATCTTGCGGTCTGCAGCTTTTCAATTTTGACCATAGACTAAAAATAAACTTTTTCTTATTTTTGGCACAGAGTACATTTGTTATCAGTGAAGTAAATATTTTAAATACTTTTAATTTACAATTTTAGGATTTTATTCACAAAATTAAAATACAATATTTTTTTACGTACTTAAAACTCTCTAAGAAGTAGATTAAAATTTTTTAATTATGTAGATGACATTACATACTTTGATACAATATATAGTTTGTTAATACAATAACAGATGGCGCTTTATGATAAGAGTTCAAAAATAAATTAGTGACATGTTTTGTGTATAGTATCATCAAATCTTTATTCACAAATCACAACTTATGATATTTTTATAGAAAAAAATATTTAAGTAAGATTGAAACACATTAGAATGTATGTAAAATATTATTAATTATTCGTATAAATTATTAAAAAATCCAATGTGAGTTTCGTTAGTAGTAATTGGAAGGCCGAAGAAAAAACAAACCTATTCTAAAATACTTTCTAATTAATTAAAATTATGTTGAATTCTACAACTTTACAATTTCTCAATTTTTATATATGTACATTTTTGTTTCATTAGTCGGAAATTTACATTGGCAATCTTGGTATAGAATTACTGTATGTAACTAATGAATTATGAATAACTACTTCATATTTTATTAATATTTGATTAACCTTTGTACCTTATATCTATACTAATATTATAAAGCTGAAGAGTTTGTTTGTTTGTTTGTTTGAAAGCGCTAATCTCCGAAACTACTTGTTCGAATTGAATAATTTTTTTGTGTTGGATAGTCCAGTTATCGAGGAACGCTGTAGGCTATATAACATCACGCTACGGCCAATAGGAGCAAAGATATAGTGGTAAATGTGTAAAAAACGGGAGAAATGATTTCATCTTTGAAGCATTCTGTTGCGTGTGCCGTGAAAACGGTTCAAGATACACAAAAAATATGTATTAAAGAATAAAGGCTCTTTTAATGATCTAAAAAACAGTCCGTGACAGTATATGTCTATCTTTTAAGATTAACTCACAAAAACCGTTTTTATGGTACCTAATTTGGTCGAAATAATTTATTTCAGTTGTATCCATATAATAATATTAATCTTTATTCAAATTAACAAATAAATATGTTGTTGGTTAAGAGTACTTCATTTTGAATAAAAAAAACATAGGTTTTATCCTGAAAATTCTACGGGAACTCAACCATTCCGAAAACCCCGAAAGAACGGGAACTATGTGGGAAGAACCAAAAATCTGCCGGAAGTCACTATTCCACGCAGACGAAGTCGCGGCAAAAGCTAGTATTATATATTTGAAATCGAAAACCAAAAATAATAAATTCATACTTTGCAAGTCGAAGCATATTGTTTATTCTTGTCAAGATTTTTTTATAAAGTTTTAGAAGGAAACGAGAATCGGATCATTTGGAAGTAAAGTTGCGAGAATTTCCAGCAGCTAACAATAGTTTAAAAACTCTCTAAAATAACGCTGATGTAAGCAAATGGTTGAATTGAAGTTTGCAGACTCACATTTAATAAACTTTAAATTAGGTAATTGAAGTAGTAGTAATAGTTAGTGACTCTTCAGCATATATCTCTTTAGAGGAAAAATTAGTATTAATAGTAATAAAAGTATTAATCTTACAAAGGCTTCGTGTAACTTTTATATTGCTTTTTCAGTTCACCTGACAGCTACTCTAGCTCTAATGTTCTTTACTCAATTTTAATTAATTTTTAATCTTACAGAAAAGTTCCACTGTACGAGTATCTTTATTCTCAATGGCCAGAGATCATAAATTGTGTGTTGTCGTAGGTCGTAAGGTCAAAGATGGTAGCTAATTAATTAATGTAATTTGTCATTTATTTATTTATATTAAAAAGACACTTCGTCATTGTATATTAAGACTTATTAATGTTTAATGTTAATGATAAAATTTCAACGAAAATATGTGATTGAGTCAATACTATTTTACATTTGGTGATCGGAAATTTAAACAGTATCTACATAATATATATTTGCACAGATTTAAGTTTATTAAATTTGTTGATTTCTTTAGTTTATAAAATACTTGTAAATTTTTTAAAAACTTTGGATAGTGAAATTATGGTTTTGTATTTATCTCGGAATAAATAAAAGATGTATATTTTAAAACATTAATTTATTACCCAGTTTTACTCAATACATTCATTCTATTAACATAATATTTTCTTCGTCACGCACCACTCATACATAGCTTAAGCATAATTAATTTAGACAGTGAGCTTGTATCACATGTGTAAAGTGGGACACACTTGTATTATCCTATTTAATATAAACAAAAGTCTTTATAGCACTAACACTGATATTTATATTCAACTTAAAGCTAGTAACGGTTCTTCGGCGTCGTGTTTTGGACTGAAATATTTCGAATTGCTCTTCTTCCATTGAGCCTTTTTGTTCAGCGTCTTTTGCTTTGTTGCTGCCAATTTAGCTTTTGATTTTGATATTTTTGGTGCACTCGTAGTTTCTAGTTGTTCCAAAGTTTCTATTATGTTCTTGGGTTTGCTAACAACATTTCTTGTTTCTTCGCTGATTTCGTCCATTGTTGCGTTTTTATTTGCATACACAACGACGTAGTGTGAATAAGCGGAACCAGATGGAGAATTAATGTCAGCGAAGTCTCTGAAGTTGGCGAATTGATCTTGGTTGTAATTTGGTCGCGGGTTAGCGATGTAGCCCACGTTGAGTGATGGCCTGCCGTGACCGTTGTTGTAATACGAACTTAAATTATCATTATAATCAGCGTCTTCATCGTTTTGTGCGAAGAAGGTCCCGCCTCGTATAATACCAAAATTACCAGACCCGAGAACAGTGGAGCTGGCATCTACTATAGGCTCCGAAGCGGGTGTGCTCTGTTTCCCAAAATTTTCCAAGCCCCTAAATCCATTAAACAGTGGGTAATTCAGAAGCGATCTGTATGAATTTGGTCGTTGACTATAAGCTGCTTCCTGGCTGCCGAATCCCAGTCGGTAATTGTTCTGTTGTCGTGGCTCGAACAGATTAGCGAATGAAGGGAAGAATGTTTGTGAGTCACCGACCACTTCTATCGAGTGATCTGTTTGGTCGGCAGCTGGCAATGAATCTGGTTCAACTTGTTTTTTGAAGTGTGGAGGTGCCGCGACTGCTTCTGTTATGATTTCTGATGATTCAGCCTTAAGGTCTCCTGTGTCGTCTGAAACAAAGAAATATATTGTTAGGGATTGTGAACTTAGTTTAAATAGAGTTTTAGAGAGATTACATTTAGATAAAATTTTTCCTAGTCTTGTTGAAAATACAGTTATATACTTTTTACTATCGCATTTAAAACAATTTTCAATTAGCCTTATGTAAAACTGTTTTATCTTAGGTATTGTACACTTCGTTTTAATACAGTTTTTGAAAGTTTAGAAATTCTATCTAATTTTTTGGTCTAAAATAGTTCTAATATCGTTGTTAAATTTTATATATATTTTGTCAGTATCGCATTTAATATAATTGACCATGTTCATTATGTAAAACAATTGATTATACTCTTTAGTATATTTTTAGGTTTGTAGGCGTAATGTGTTGTCAAGCGTGAATAGCATTGGAATTGGAATATATTCGCCACTCAAGTAGCTAACGTATGTGGACAAGTCAAGTCTTCCTGTTCGAATAAGTAATGTGCTATGAGGTAATAGAGGAAAGCTAAAGTACGAGATAATTTCCGTATACTCGTTATATGAAATACTTGTAAGTGTAGTATCTATTTTGTGGTTGTTATACTTATTTTTTCTAATTAAATTAAACGTGAGTTATGTAATTTAAGATTATTTTCTTTTCCTTAAAGCTGTTCAATTATTTTTCACAGTTTTATTATAACATCGTAAAAGATGAACATTCTGATTTGGTGTGGTTAGAAAAAAATATTACTAAAGCGTCACGAAACAATCATTGTTTTTTAATGGTTGGCATTGTTTGAGTAATATTCACTCACTGTATTTTGAAACAGCTATTTCGGTAAAAGCCTATATAATAGTTAATACTCGTTATATTAATTTAATATTTCCGTACATATTATATATCAGAAACAGTGAAGTCGTCAATAATCCATGGATAACTTATTGTTGTTTTGTGAAGTTGTACTTACAAACGTTGCTAATCATGATGATAAGCACTTTTTGTTATACATATAATTTAAGAATTTATTATTTTATAATAGCATTAAACAAATTCGATTAAATATGTTTCCTGATTACAATATATTTCATATATCTTTGATGAAAGAAATAGCGAGAATGTTTTGTAAACTATAATAATAAATGGATTATTGGAATCAGGACACGATGACCTGTGACACTGTCGTATTTGTCACTATTGCATTCATATATAATATATTATAAAATTGCGTATTGATGTCAACAAAGATTATAGCCTAATAACCCCCGACCCAGTGCTGTAAACACCACAAGATATTCAAATTTTTTTCAAGAATTACGAAATTATGACAGAGGTTAGGAGAAAGCTCGACTTGGACGAATAATGAAGATTCAAACGTTGAACGTGACCACAGTTTTATAATTGTGTATCGTGGTCACGTAGCCAATGAATTATTTTGACTTTAGAGGCTAATTGGATTGGGTTATCTGATTTTTGCGTATTTGTCCATTCCGTCTATAACGTAGTGTTGCAATGTTTGTGTCATTTGTTTTTTAGGATGACAACACATGTAGTAAGATGTCGCCAAGTAGGTTGGATGTAAATAGCTTGACAATTTTTGCTTACGAACATTTGCAGTAAATACTTATTTATTTATTAACTCCGATTTAGAATAAGATGCCCTTATCCTTATTTGAGTTGAACAGCAAAGGCCAACTTGATAATTAAGGGTGGGTTAAAGGTGCCTTGGAATCGAATTACTACGTTTATTTAAAATGTCTCCTAGAATTTTCTGCGTTATACAAAAAAAAATTGAAAAATAGTTAAATTTTGTACTAATAATTTGATCTTGTCGGTAAAAAAAACCTCAAAAATACTTTTCAACTACGCAAGTACATCTTTAATTTTGAAATTAATTTTTCCTTATCTAAATTCACAATAGCCTAAACAGATTTCATTAGTAAGTGGAGCAAAATTTAAATGAAAGTTTTATAATCGGTTGACAAATCTATTTAGTGGAACGCTAGATTTTGACCATAAATGTATGACATACTTATAATATAATGCTAGGTTACACAATTTTTATGTAACTCTTATAGTTTTATGTTTTGTGCCAAAATTTAGGTTTTATTAGGATTGTGACGATCGTAAAAAAATATTTCATCTCAACTCTAATATTTAATTGGGAAGTTATTGATTTATACATAGATTGAAATAAAAATTTTCAATCGATATCTATGAACACAGATGAAAAAATATGTAATAAAAATTATTATATAATTTAAATTGTTTACCTTGAATTTATCTAGCGTTTCACAAAAGAAGGTAAAGAGTTTCAAAATTTAATGCAAATCATAGTTTAAAAATACAACTATGGACAATGTCTTTATTATTTCTATTTTAAAAGACATTCAAATAATAACTTCTGTATTTGTATTCGTCACGGTAATTACAATATTATTATAAATTATGTACACAATAACTATATAATTCTTCTATGTTATTAAATTTGGTATCACTAAAGATTTTAATCAAACTTTTTATTTACAATCTGTGATCAAAACTAATTTTATTACCATAGATTATCGTTATTTTGTTACGCAATAAAAACCATAGAGTATATCCGTATCCGGAAAAAGAACGTGAGACTACTAATCTGCATTTCGTAATTTGTGGTATGTGGTTTACCGTTTCGATAAAATGTCTAGCATATTATAATTTTTCATGGGTAATATACATTATATAACTGTTACGTGTTTTTTTATTATGATTTGTTTTTTTTGTTCACTATGACGTCAGTTGATGATCTTCTGTAATAGAAAATTTTAATAAAGTGTGAAATGTAAATGATTTTTATGCTATAACATAAGTATAAGACTTTCGTTTCGAACTGTATGTAATAAAATTTGCATTAGCAATTTGAAATAATTATATTCATTCTAAAAAACGAATTAGAGAAAGTGATTTATTGGTTTATTTTCATGTCTTTTTAATTTTCTCTAGAATATAAAATTTCTTCCAGGTTTTGATTTGATAAAGATTTATCCGTGAAATATATTCAATAAACTTTTCTGTATTTGTCAGGTGTATACAGTAGTATACTAACACTTTATAATTTTAAACAACTCTTTTGAAGATATAAAGGAAATTAAATAATAAAACTCATTTATAAAAAAAAACTTTAAGTACTATGAACACGTCATTAATCCTTTCCTCATCTTTCGTAAAGTAATTAAATTACTTTTTTTTACCAAATTTCCTTATTTTTGTCTCAACTGAAGCGGTTATGTTAATATTAATGATGGTAACATCCAATATGCAATTTAAGTAATTGACTCTCAACAAAATCGTAAAAGTATGTAATAAAATTCTGACTGGCAACAATTTTAAGTGGCGCCAATTCTTAAAATACCGTACTGTATGTGAGAAACGATTAAAAATTGCATTAAAAAAGGTAATATACTTGCAGATAAATAAAGATTAAACATCTTACACTAATTACGTATTAATTTTATAATCTAGAATCATTCTGAGAGGTTATAATACTCCAAAAGTGACAAAGAAGAATTACATAAGACCTCATTTCTAAAATTGTCTTTGATGTAATGTGGGGTATATGATTGCGTCTGTATGTGTCAACTGAGTTCCTTGTGTAGTATTGAGTATGAAAGCAATAACATAGTAAATAATGATGGCAATTTGAAATCCTCATGCATTGCATTATACGCACGTACTATCTAAATTACCGGCCATGGTGTTCGAACAACGGTAATTAATATTACAATAATGAATTACTTTTGTTTTAGGAAGTTGATAAATGACAGATATGTTAATATGGTTGCCAGTATGATAAATTGTTTTAAAAGTATATCACAGATTGTTCAGCTGATAATGGTAATAAGATTTAGATTGGAACATGTAGTTTTTAGATGATTAATTGTCGTTAATGTTAAAGGTGAAAAAATGTAATATTGGGTTTGATACTGTATTTAGTCTATGACAGCTTCCAAGTGCAAATCGGTGTTTGAAATATAGAACACGAGCGTCAAAATGCATTATTATCTAAAATGGCGTAGCAAAAAGTTTTTATAAGAAATTATTCATACCTAATAACAATTATTTTTAATTTAATTTTTCATTTTATGTCAATGATATAGTGATTTTGCTCATAGCTCAATTCAAAGATATAAATAATGATTTCGGCCAGAAACAACTTTATTTACCCAAAATATTTCAAGTAAATATTTTCCTTTATTTTTCAGACTTAATAAAATTAAATTATATGTATTAACAATAACCAACCAACTAAAAGGTTATCGTTGATATTAGAACCGTATAATAAATATAAGAATATTTAATCGTTCATTTAAGATGTATAATATAAATACTTCGGAATAAATTTATTTTACTTCTCATGAGTTTTTCCTTTTAGTTGATATGGATATGGCAATAAATCACTAAAATATAATGATAAGCCCATAATGTTTTAACATGTATTTATGAGGAAATGTATTTAGTACGAGTTAATTACGTAATTATCAATAAAAACATAGGAAATAAAACCTTATGCCCAGTGGCTACTAATGAGGCCGGCTAGTTCACTGATAGTGTACTTTCTACAGAGTTTTTGTGGCGTCAAATGTTTTTTAAATAACGCACGTTCATGAAATGTCAAGTGTTCATATGTCAGTGATTTAAAAGCAAACTATCAACGTATGTTTACAAATATGACAAAGTAACTTTATTTATTTTTTTCCAGCCAATAATTTTTTGATTACAAGAATATTTCTTTTCATATAAAAACTTTTTACACGAAACTTTTCCAATGATTTGTAGATTTTTCAAAATATATTAATATTTTTAGTGATTAATTTAGAAAGAACTAATTTTGATACCTGAAATATTGATTGACTTTTGATATACTGGAAACTACTCTAGAATTTATTTATCTGTTATCTGAGACACCACGAAAAACAAAACTACGTAAGGAAATTGTAAGATGATTTACTTCTTACAAAGTAAATACATATCGTTATTTACATGTTTCAATAGTACTAAAAGACATAAACTTATACATTTTTTGTACTTTTATACTTATACTGTTTACTACGAGAGTATTCTGCTCTTGAATTAATCCACCAGAGCGTAAGATTTATATAATCACGACTAAAGTTATTTAAGTTTCAAACTATTTGCATTCGAGAGGTACTTCAAGGTTTGATAATAGACATCTGGATTACCTTAGCTATCATAGTTTTATTAAATATATGGAACAATTACTAATCATATACAGAAACAGAAAAACAAACTATTATTTAAACTTTGTATGACATATTATCTTAATGGAAATGAAATATCGTAACAGTGACTTGAATATAAATATATTTTTTTATTCATCGTAAAATACTTTACGATTTAATAAAATAAAGCAATTTTATGTATAAATGGCTTTCAATAAAAACAAATATTTGTAAGCTTGTTGTTTCATCAATTAAATTTTATGAGAATATTTGAGATACATAAAAATAAGATTGAGTTACCTTCACGTTAAAATATTGGTTTTCGGGAGATTTAGAGTATGTCATTACCAGCCTATATGAAACGAAATCACCACTGCGACAGTTGAATAAATAAATTAAGTTTATTTTATTATTTCTATTGGCGAAATGATACAAATATATTTTCTTAATATAATCAAATAAATTGCTAGAACTAGGGAAAAAAATATTTATAAGTATGTATGTATTTAGTTGATTGTTTGAAAACACGGACATACAGAATATAGAATTTTTCGAGACAATGTTAGGTCTGGAGAACATTTATATAATTGCAAGAAGCTGCAGGTGGTATAAGACAGACCCTGGCTAAAACTGGGAAATTGCCAGGTAGAAGAAGAAGAAGAAGAAGGCGTTAAAATAATAAAAACAAATATAAACATATCGCATACAATTATATTAAAATGAAGTTTATAGAGAAAATAAATCATTATGTGCAAATGCCGTATGAG